ACACAAAAACCCTCTTTCCACTGGCTGCTAGGATCCAGGACAAGAACCAAGGCAAAAACTGAACAGACAGACTAACAGAAAACAAATAATGATCTGGAACTGAATGCTCAGGCTGAACTGAGTATTAACAGAAGAAACAGGTGAGAGGAATAAATTATAGGCAGGGAGGGAAAACGGCAGGTGAAAGAAATGACCAATTAAGGGAGAGCAAACAGGCCAGATGATGACAACAATAATGGAAAGTTATCAGAGTCAGAACACTTTGGTTAAATAGTTACATGTTATGAATAAACCTTGAAAAAAATCTAGTTTTTTATGGGAAGAAGTTATGTCTGGTCTACAAACGGACTCACGCGGGTGATTGTGTGGCCTTGCAGGTGAAACAGGCTGAGTGAAAACTTTTATAGTGAGTAAATAGCATAAATATAATATATAGAATAAGAGAAACGAAATTTTCTGACCACAATAGTGATTTAAGTAAATCAAATATCCAGCTTTGCTGTTGATAGCACATTGTGTTGTGTTTCTATTGGGTTGATTGTTTTTCAGTTGTTAAGCCTCATTCTGCTCAGACAAGTCCTATTTTAATCCCAGATCTAAACCAGGTTTTAGACTAAAATTAATAAAAAAAAAACTAATATATTTATTATTAAAAGGTTTAATTTTGTATTTTTTGCATATTTTGTTGCATTAACAGCTTTCCCCGAGAGTTGATTTTATAAACGGCGTTTTCCTTGAACTGTTTCAGGAGAACTTTAAGCTGAGGGACCAGAACGACGACCTTAACGCTCAGATTCTGAGTCTCAGTTTATACGAAGCCAAGAACCTCTTTTCCTGCCACACCAAGGCCCAGTGCCTCGCCGCTGAGATCGACAACGCTTCAAGAGACGAGGTCCGTCAGTCAGAGGGAGACAGGATTATTTTAGTTGTCGTCTGTTAAAACCGAACATCTGAATTTTCTCACTTGTTTCTCTTTCAGATTGTTGATGCTCTGAAAGAACAGGAAGAGATCAACCTGCGTCTGCGGCAATATATGGATAAAATCATTCTGGCTATTCTGGACCACAATCCCTCCATCCTAGAGATCAAGAATTAAACCTTAGATGTTAGGACAGACATTTCTACTGCTGCAGTGACGCTAATTAGCCATCATACCGCCGTCCTGATCGCTGCTTATGTGTGAAAGTTCAAATGAAAGGCGCCGGCCGTCCCTCCAAACTCTGGATGTCGATGATTTCTGCTTCTATTTGGATCCAAAACAAAACTTTGACCTAAAAAAACATCAGGATTGTTTGCAGATTTAACTATGTCCTCATGCAGACACCTTTTCAGCTGTTATCCTCTAATCGCAGCTTCAGAACCTTGTTTTCATCTTATTCAGCTAGAGATGGTTGATTTATTGAGGTTCATAACGAACTTTAGGAGGAAAACCAGCAGAGTCGGACGTTTCCATTTGTTTCTCATCATAACAGCTCGTTCTATTATACTATGAGCCACTGCCATCTAATTTAACTCTGCTTACTATATAATTATTCTAGTTATTCAATGTCACAAATAACATTTTGTATTGTAAATGCATCTTTCTGACGAGTCTTTATCTCTGCTTGTTCTCAGCTAGGTCATCATTTAGAGCGTTTCACATTGAATCATTCGTTTCATGCTAATCAGGAGGCCAAAGCATCCTGGAGGTGGGACCCAAACCGCTTCCCAAAGAGCATCTCCAATTCTTTCTGGTTCAGCCCCTGATCTCTATTTATTCCCTGGATTGCTAATAGCCCGTTGGTAGGGTTGAAGTGAAGCCACCGGCCGCCATATTGGTACTCCCTAGTTAGACCGGTCTCAGTGTAAACAAAACGTGCGCTACAGCATCAAACAACCATGATGTTCTCATTTTCAGATTAAGACTTTTAAAATAAAGATAAATTCATCACTTTGACACAGACTGGCTGTTTCATAGCATCAGTAGATTAACTTTAACTTAGAATTAAAATAGGCCATATCATATAGCACAGTTATTATGAAGTCAATGAAGTCTATAAATCATGTAAACATATTATACAAAGTCATCACAATAAAATTAATGTGGTAATGGAGCATAATAACACAGAAGTGCCAAAAGTGCTAAATTGATGATGTACATGTATTTATTACATTGTTGTGGTAATTACATCTTACATTTCATTTCAAGATTTTACATCAAGACTGAATTACAAGTTCATGTCTGTTAATGCTTTAGTATTTTAACATTTGAAAATTATGCATGAATGATGCCATATACTTTATGTGGTGAATATTTGATTTGCTCCCCCCTCCCATCAGTATAACATGCAATATATCATTACTTTTTCAAATGAGAAATACAACAATCACTACAAAGAACGACAGCGTCATCCACTTAATAGAGAATTACTACATCAACATTTCACAGTGAATTTCTTTCTATTTTCTAACGTTAGACCCAATGTCAGTGGCTAACTCAGTCAATGTCTTCCAGTCAGTCTGACATAGCCAGACTAATGTTACGCTACAGACTATTTTATAGGATCCATCGGCTATAGATGGATTTATTGGTTAGTTCATCCACTGACTGTAAAATTACCAGTGGAACGTCTTCCTGCAGACAGAAAACTGCTGGTTTTTGCAGCCAAATGCTGCACAAGGAGGCATTCTTATGGCGCATCTCCGTGGGAGTGGGGAGTACCAATATGGCGGCCTGTGGCTTTAGTTTTTTCAGGCTATCAGCAATCCAGTGAATAAATAGAGATCAGTGGGTTCAGGACATCAACCAAACACCACTAAGAACCACAGAACAATGGCAGACATGCTTCTTGAATAGAGGTGGAACTAAATTGAAAGAAAACATTATAAAAAGATACACAGCTGCAAAATAACAACAAACAAGAGAATTGGTTGTAAATGAACAGCTAATGACAAAACAGAAATATCCTAATTATATCCAAACAAATAGAAAAACACCATAAATGAGATCAACCACCCTCCCCTTTTCAGTTCTCCAATGGTACAGTCCTGTGCACACCTTCCTGGAGAGGGAATAGCAGCAGGTGTTTCCCTTTTAGGAAGAGTTTATGAATTAATAAAATATTGTGTTGTAAAATCAATTTACCTTTTTACTAAAACTAAAATAAGATGAGACCTCAAAGAAGCCACGGCCCAAACAATTCTACTGCGTTTAAAACAACCAAAATAAAGCAAACTGCAAAGCAGGATGCTGTGTTTAACTGTTATCTTTAATAAATATACAGCTAAAAAAGTCTCATTGTTACATAGAGCATCTTAGAACAGGTTAGCTACAGGTGGCTGTAGGAAAATAAAACACCTGCTAGTTGTCTAATGATCCTCTGGCTCCGTTCGTCACCCGACTAAAAACAAAAGGTAAGATTTTTAACTTTGCTTCATTGAGTATTTCAGGATATCCTCCACATCTAAATGTCACCAGATACATAAAGCCATGAAGCTCTTTTGTTAACATTGTCAAATAGCAGAGCAGTAATTTTAAAAATAAGTCTGTTTAAAGGTGCCAACACTGAAACCCATGTGCCAAATCCTTTCATAAGACAAATGAGCTAAAGTTGCTCAAAAAAAAAAAAAAAAAGCTTGAATGACAGGAATTAGACCAGTACAGATAAAGTAGTTCCTAAAATCAACTTTTTAACGGTAAGTGAACTAATTTTTTTGTCAGTCATCCAGAATATTTAAATCCAGAATTTAAAGTTACATTTTTAAAATTTCTTTATTATTTAAAGATGAATTCATTGCTTTGACATGGTGCTGTCATGCCCCGCCCCTTACAGCATGCTGTCACTTTGCAGGATCTCACCTGCCTGATCAAAGAGAACCACTAGCTAATACACTGCAAAACATTTAAATCTAAATAAGTCGTTTTTTCTTAAAATAAGTGCATTTTTTTCTTGAATTGAGGAGGTAAGTGAGGCAATTTAGAATAAGAAAAAACAATTTTATTGTCTTATTTCAAGTGCATATCATCTAATTATCTTATTTTAAGAGTAAAATGTACTAATTCCATTGGCAGATCAAACTTTTTACCCGCTCAAATTAAAGCTAAATACACTTAATATAAGAAATTTTTACTTATTTCTAGGATGTTTTTGCAGTGTAAAGATGGATGCAAAAACAAACTAGAAAACAAGTAACAATTCCTTAAAATAAGTGTATTTACCTTTGATCTGAGAAAGAATATGATCTGCATATAGTATGAGTATTTTTTATCCTTAAAATAAGATAGTTAGATATTTTGCACTCGAAATAAGATAAAAAGACAGCAGTTTTTTTGTTTTTCTTTTCTTATTTTAAAAGCAAATTGATTTATTCCATTGGAAAAGTTTCTCACTCACCTGCTCAATGCTAGAAGAAATGCACATATTTTAATAAAATTGACTCACTAAGATTTATGTTGTTTGCAGTAAAGAGAGAAATAGAGCAAGTGCAGAAATGTTACATTAAACCTCCTCATCTCCAGTTCTGCTGTCCTCATGGGAGCCAGATCTGAAAGAATAATCCCTTCCTAATCAGTGTTAATAAGAGATGTACAGATCACTTTCACACTTTTATTCACTTTGTCACTTTGATAATGCAGCGCCACGGCTGTCTGTTAGGAGTGCAGTAGTGACCTGCAGAAAAAGCACTACATCATTTTAAAAATGAAAGTGTTTTTGTTGTAGTTGGCTCACAAGTCACCTTGTTAGTTCACTTCAGTGTAAAATCGCTTGCAAAACATAGAAAAGTGAAAATATATCTACTGTTGTTAGGCCTTAGGTTGAATAGTTTCCGTTTTGAGATTCAATTAATCCTGATGGTTGTATTTAAGCATCATATTTTTATTGATTTATGCTAAATGATGTTCAGATCCAGTCGTTCCATTTGTAAACACTGTTTTATTTTATTTTTTTGCACAAAAGCTATGTGGATGATGTGCTGCATATTAATGATTGTATTAAAGCTGTTGGATATAATCTTTCACATTTCACATGTTTTTTTTTAGTTTTTTGCTTATTTGTGTAAATAAAATCCACTTGCTTTGGGAAGGCCCGTGTAGCTGCTGTTGTTTTCTCCATGCATGAAGGTTTAAAATTGGATCCATTTTTAAATCTAAAGTGTTCTTTTGAAGTAGAGAACAACATTCGTTCAGTTTGGTTTATAGATAATTTCCTGATTCCCATATTTTATAAAACGCCTGAACTGAGCCTTTGTTTTTGTTTTTCTTTTTTCTGTCTCAATGTTGGCAGTGGGCTTTAGGCTGCCCTGCAAGGCTTTAAACCTGGGTTTGAATGGAGACTAAGCCATTCTCAAGCAAATATCGAGGAGCTCATGAGGGGCCAGACTGACACAGCTCATTTATGCACCACTGAATGGAGTCTGTGATTGGACAGTCGCAGCACTGCTGAATCCTACGTCTCCATGTCCTTACGGTCTTGGAGAAGAACGTGGGTCCGCAAGCAGACGGTGAAGGAATCTAATACTTTAAATTGGGCATTTCTTCCTCACTTTGGTCATCTAATCCAGGAAGGTTGTAATTTCACATCTATTAATTTACATGAATCTTTGAATTGGTCTCATGTGTGGGATTGGTAATTATACTCGCAGCCAAGATGTCTGAACACTGCAAAAAATTTGAATCTCAGTGAGTAATTGTTTTCTTAAAATAAGTGCATTTTTTCTTGAGTTAAGGAGACGTGTATGACATTTTACCAATGGAACAAGACAATTTACATTTAAAATAAAAAAAAAAATGCATTGTCTTATT